CACCTGTGAATGAATAAGGAACCAGGAGATGTCACACATATAAATCCTAGAAACTATAAAATACATACATACAGAGAATATACACAGGAAACAACTCATAAAGGTTAAATAATAGGAATCTTAGAAATTGTAAATTGTACTATTTCCTAAACCTCTCATTTAACACATGAGGAAACTGAGACTCGAGTGGTAAACTGACTTGCTCACAGTCATAGAATTAGTTACTGGCAGTGCCAGCTCTAGTCCTAGTTTACTCTTTGTGGTGTTCCATTGATTCAATACAAATAGTAGGGGAATATATCTAAATTCTTCCATTATACCAGTACAAATTCTGCTTAAGGTGAGATGGGATCTGAAAATCTTTTCATGAAGCAGAAACTCTACTTGTAATGGACTCAGACTAGTAATTAAATTAGCTTTGTCTAATAATGCCAGTCTGTCCACCTGAGAAATCGACAATAGTCCAATGCAAAGATGCTGCTCCTACCCAGCTGTTCTTTTTTTTTTTTTTTAATTTAATTAATTAATTTATTTATGGCTGTGTTGGTTCTTCATTTCTGTGTGAGGGCTTTCTCTAGTTGCAGCAAGCGGGGGGCCATTCTTCATTGCAGTGCGCCGACCTCTCACTATCGCGGCCTCTCGTTGCAGAGCACAGGCTCCAGACGTGCAGGCTCAGTAATTGTGGCTCACGGGGCCAGTTGCTCCGCGGCATGGGGGATCCTCCCAGACCAGGGCTCGAACCTGTGTCCCCTGCATTGGCAGGCAGATTCTCAACCACTGCGCCACCAGGGAAGCCCCCAGCTGTTCTTGGTAGTGAAGAAAAGAAGAGTCTAATTGCAGGTGACTCTTCTCCTTTTGTGTGCGCTTATGAACCCCTGGCGTTCTCAACAGCCACATACTAATTTCCCTAGCTGCAACCATCCATGGCAGATTAGAAAGAATACAATCTTTGAAGTCAAAGAGAACTTGCTGAATACCACCCCTACAACTTAGGATATAACACTGGACAAATTACTTCATCTCTCTGAGCCTGTTTCTCAACTAAGATAATAACACTATTCACCTCAAAGGATAAATGAGATAATACAGACATTATGGCATACTATCTTAGGATACGTACAGTTAAGAGAAAGGCTAAGAATAGAATAAAATGTTCACCTATGAGTTTGAAAGTAAGTTTACAGTCTGTAATGTTGAAATATTAATTCCTGTTCAATATGTAAAATAGTCCATCTTAAATAAATATTTACAAAGCATTCACTCTGTGCATAGTTTAGAGATAGTGGTCACAAATTTATAACCTGAAAGTGATATATCAAGACAAGGTACCAAGAAATTCAGAAAAAATACTCACAATGCTTTCAAATACTAAAAAATAACAATTAGATTCTGGTTTTTTTTTTAAAGTCCTTATCAGAGACTCACATTGAAGTATTTATAACAGAAATGACAGTGTTTGGAACTTGCTTTAAAATATCCATTCTCCCAACCCCCGTGATTTAAAAAAAAAAAAAATGAGGATAGCTGAAGCTGGGTGATGCATATGTGGGGAATCATCATACCATTCTATTTGTGTTTATGTTTGAAATTTTCCATATTAGAAAGTTTTTTGTTTCTTTTTTTAAAATCAAACAAACAAAAAAAAACAACCTAAGAAAAACTATGCACATCACTAATAAACTTCTAAAGAACCAACATGTCCATCTGCAACTTCTAAACACAAGATACTATTGGTTGGGACTTCCCTGGTGGCACAGTGGTTAAGAATCTGCCTGCCAATGCAGGGGACACAGGTTTGAGCCCTGGTCCAGGAAGATCCCACATGCCGCGGAGCAACTAAGCCCGTGTGCCACAACTACTGAGCACACCGCGCGCCTAAAGCCCGTGTTCTGCAACAACAGAAGCCACCACAATGAGACGTCCGTGCACCGCAACGAAGAGTAGCCCCCGCTCGCCGCAACCAGAGAAAGCCCGCATGCAGCAACGAACACCCAACACAGCCAAAAATAAATAAATAAATCTATTAAAAAAAAAAAAAGAAAAAGATACTGTTGGTCATTTCAGCCAAAAATATATAAACTATTTTAAAATTACTCTCAACATAAAGCATATCTTATTTCTTTATCAAATACTAGACAGTAATACTTTTGGTATTACTTCTCCTCCACCTGGTAGAACAGCCCAGGATGTATTTTTCCTTTTTACCCTTATACTTTCTAGTTATATATTCTTATGACTAGAACTACTACTAACTACATATACGTACACACACACGTAACCAGGACTACTATCCATCATTACTGCTAATATACCCACTATGTAACAGGGGACCCGCTGGGTATACTTCACCTTTTAAAAAGTATGACTCAGCTGACAGGGTTAAAAAAAGAATCCCCCACAACATACAGCCTTAAAATAGTGGCCAAAAGGAGAAAAAGCTGTGAACTAATCTTAGTCTATGTGCAGTTTTAATATAGTTCACACATAAAATTTTAATTTGGTGGCATACGATGCATTAGACAAACGGAAAGTATCCGCTGAAATTATTTAAAGGTAAGTATAAATACCTTCAAATAGATTCTCTAAGTGAATTAGTATATAACTTTGAACACTAAAGAGAAACTTAAAATATCTGAACTTAAGACTTAACCTACCCACGTTGTTTCAAAATAAAAATGTGGTTTACTATACTACCATTTAAATACTCACATGCTTTGCCTTTTCATAATTCTAATAGCAAGAACACAGAGAACAATCTTCCCTAAAGATGTATCCAAAAGGATAAAGAAGCACAAATGTCTACTTTCCTATCAAACTGTCCTACTTATCAAAAAGCACATACAAAACATATTCCACACTTTCACTTCAAATGTGCCTAGCTAGTTTACGTTTTTAATCGTTATGCTCTTTCAAACACATAATTGAGATTTAACTAATTCTCTAAGCGGAATAAAATTTCTTTTTGCTGTCTTTAAAGGAAAAAAAGAAGATATATTCCTAAAGAATATACACAGGTGTTCATGATACTATTCTTTCAATTTTTATGTATATAAAATTGGAGGAAAATTAATTAAATTGGAAATTTGGAAACCCCTGCCCCCCCCAAACCCCCTCTTCCAATTTACATGACACCTTTTCTTTCTCTAGAGCATAATCCGGGCTCCATTAGCTTACTCACCTTCAATCAGTCAACACTATTCACTGAGTCTCAGCACTGAATTAGGTACTCTGAAAAGTTACAAAGGAAATACAGGACCTAGTAACTACCTTCAAAGAGTTTAAATCCCTATAAAGGAAGAAAAATGTAGTTACCAAAAGAATACCCTTGCTGAGAATCTTACAGTCAAAGGTGGAACAGGGACTACATTTTCAGGCCAGGATCTTTACACTAACTAATGCAAGAAAGATAGTACCTACCAAATTAAACAGACTCCAAAAGTGGTCAAAGCTAAGTTATTTACAGATTATATATGCTGCTACACACTTCTACATGCATGACAAAGGAAGACTGCTCCTGTGAGTGACTGTTTCCAAATGTCCCTAATGCATGTAAAGAGACATGTACTCCTTGAATGGGCCACTTTTTGCCACTTTCCCTAAAAACATCCTGTTTCTACCACAAACTGCTTAACCAAATGATTGGTCTTCAATATTAGGATCCTAGTTTGAGAGAACAGCATCTATTATATATCCTCGAAGGCCAAATAGAAAATTTCAAGAAGCTTGACAGAGTTAAGAATCATAGCTGTTATCGACTAGAGGAGTAGTTGAAGAATAAAGAATAACAAGGGATTATCTTCCTAGTTTTCAAGTTGTAGATAAGTCATCTAAGGCCCCACATTTCTAGTGGCTCTAGAAATTTCCCTTCTCGCTGTCTCCTGAGCATGTATATCTTTTCCTCCTGTGAATTACTCTGCGTGGAATACCAGAGCAAATATCACAGGGGGATGAGGAGGGAAAAAAACTGCCAAGACTAGCATTTTTCAACAACCCAGTGGTTTTCCTATGACCATGAACATCTTAGAAAATTCTCTTAACAATTTCCCAAATAAAATTGTATCCAGCGGTGGCTTCATTCTACCTGTCAACCTTTGGGCCTAATTCTACATACCTAAACCTTAAAAAAAAAAGTATCCCTACCAGATTTGCTCCCAAACTTTGGTAACTGTCAAAAATGCACTTATGTCTGCAGCATTAAATCCAGAGAAGAAATTCTCTGTTACTTAACTGAATCACATCAAACAACATCAAACCTAGACTGCATTAAAAGGTACTGTTAAAATCATATTCAGACGTCAGAAGGGCAAAGACCCCACAATCCATCTTCAAATACTGCCCCAACTTTTCAAGCTCTGGGACTCTAAATCACTTGGAGTAATAGCTTACACTTGAGATTCATTACAAATTGACCAAAAGAAATGAAGAAGAAGAAGGGAAAGAAAAGCATATATTACTTTCAGCAGCTGGTAAATAATAGGAGTTTTTGAATTACAGTAAAGACAGTAAATTCGGTTGCTGTCTACAATACACATCAGAATAGAACCAGTTACCTAAACAAACATTATCTACTGCCAATAAACAGCACGGCATTCTTTAACAGCTGAAGTACGCCAACCATTTTTCATGTTTAAAAGGGTCGCTACAAATTATCCAAGTCGAAACGGATGGCAAAATCCTAAACAGGTTTTCACCGAGGAGCCACCGCGCTCAGAGCATCACACAAAAGACCGGAGCAAATATAAACACGCTCTGGGCCTTCGCCGACTGCAGCCGGGAGCTGGGGTCTGCGTCCCAGACCCCCGCACCCAGAGGTAATGAAAGGTGGGGGTGGGGTCCCCTTCTTGGAATGCGCCGGGGAGCAAGGGGCAGAGAGGGAAGGAGCGAGCGCAGCTCAGAGGAAGCGAGAGAAGCAGCAGACCATCGTCAGCGGCTTCCAAGGCCGGCGACACCCTCGGGCCCGCAGCAGGCCTGGACCTCCCGGCCCCGTCCTGCCTCCTCACCTCCCTCACGTCCTGCAAGCACTCCAGCACCGCCAGGTTGTTGCTCCAGGTATGCTTGGGACACACACGGGTCACGTCCTCCCTGCAGGACTCTTCCTCCGCCAGCTTCCAGCCCCCGCCAGCCCCGCCAGGCCCTGATCCGCCCCGCCGGGCCGGAGACCCACCCGCCGGGAAAGGCGGCTGCGGCTGCTGAGGCGGTTGTTGCTGCTGCGGCTGCTGCTGCTGCTGGAACTGAGATGACTGAGGCAGCTGGAGCTGACCCCCTAGAGCGCCGCCTCCAGGCTGCCCTCCGAGGGGCAGAAGGTTGGCCCCCGGGCCCTGGCCTGGGCTGTGGCCTCCCTGGCCCTGGAGTTTGTCGGCCCCGGCCGCCGCGAGCAGCAGTAGGTGCAGCGCCGCCGCCAAGCGGAACATCCTCCGTACACGTCCACACGCCGCCATCTTGAGTCCGCGGCGAGCTCGACGCACCCGCCGGCGCGGCGTATTTAAATGAGGGGGCGGGGAGTCGGGCGGGGCCCGGCGGGGTCCGTCCGATCCCTTCTCCTGCCGGCCCAGACCCGCCAGCTGGGAGCAAATTCCGGGAGTGGCCGAGCTCCGAATGGCCCACGCCCCGGACCTCGGCGGGCGGGAAAGCTGCGCTCTTTGCCGGAGGCGTTCCTGGTGCTCCTTAAGATATCTGGGTAGGGCAGCTTTGCCTAATTCCCTTGGTTGTCGTCACAGAAAAATAAAAAAGGATTGGGATTGCCACAACCAAGATGGCCGGTAGAGTATGTCATCCGTTCAATGAGAAAAAAACTTTATGTGTAGAGGTGAACTTTACACGATCAGGTGTATTCCGGCATCTAAGAACCTCCTTCTTGCATTTCTCCTTGCTTCCTTCCACCGGCCCCAAAAGCCTCTCTTACCCAGAAAAGGAGGCAGCATTGAATCAGGGTTAGGAGCACTGGTTCCAGAATAAGAAAAGAGCCTGTTATAATCCTTGCTCTTCGGCAGACTAGGCAAGTCCTTTAACTTCTCTGACCCTCATTTTTCTAGTCTGAGAAAGGAAAGGAGGAGCTCTAATGTATAATTGTGAAGATTAGAAATAATAAAGTGCCTGGCCCACAATAGGGAATTCAAAAAGTTATAGCCAGTATTATGAATAAACTGGGAAGCCCTTTGCATGTGAGGCAGATTTTAAGCCAGAATTTAAACTCATGTTTCAAGGAGGGAAAGAAAATAACAAAACATGTCTTTGAGGCCTCAGGTTAAGTCTGTGCCTCATAACTGTCTTGCTGACCTGCATGCAGCATCTTCAGCAAGCACTATAGGCAGGGATGGTTGTTTCACTTAACACCAGTGTCCCCTCCTTTTCCATAGGAGAGATGTTATCTTCCTAAAGCATCTTCACATCTATTGTGTCATCTGAGCCATGCATCAGGCCTGAGTTGGGTTCTCACTCACCTGAAGAATGGCAGAGATGGTAACAGTTCTGCACAGCAGGGTTAAATGTCCTGCCCAGGATGAACTTTGCCAGCCTGGGACCAGAACCCCTGGCCTCTCACTTGGCGTGGTGCACTTTTATCCCACTCTGCCAGTATACCATGTTGGGGAGTGAGGGCAGCTTGGGACATGTGATTCCCACTGGTCATCCATGTTCAAAAATGCAGCTTCTGCTGTCCTGACCCACAAATGGGCAGTGAAGACCAGACATAACTAGAACCTGAGAGGTTGGGTGGGGGCTCATGGGCCTCATAAAGGAACCCCTGAAACTGAGAATATTTTAGGGGTACAAACTGCCCACTGTGGCTGACACAGGCCTCTATCTCTAGGAATGAGGACATGTTGACATCTCTACCAAAACTCACTCCTGCTACTGCCATAATGTGGTGCTAAGGCTGCTGCCAGCCTTGAGCATTGACCAAGACAGCCCAGGGTAGAACAGATAAATTACATGTTCCTTAACAGATATGTGGCATAGGTAAATCTCAGACCTGAAGTTCTTGAAAAGTCACTTAGGGTCATTACTTTTTTTAATTGTTTAATTAATTAATTTTTTTTGGCCATGCCACGCAGCTTGTGTGATCTTAGTTCTCCGACTAGGGATTGAACCCAGGCCCTCGGCAGTGAAAGCACAGGGTCCTAACCACTGGATAAGGGTCATTAATTTTCAATGATGGGTCTCTATGTGCACAGACAACAAGTAGGAGTTTATTTTTTAAGCCAGTTTAAGGCCAGAAATTGACAATCCGCTAAGAGAAGCCAGCAGTTGCCCATCTCACAGCCTGCAGTGAGGAAACCCTGGACCCGGCCACAGACTGCCTCTGGAGATAGGGACGAGTATATGTGCCTATCCTGAAATCACAGTGACCAACAAGCAAGAAACTGAGAGAAATCTGGGAACCTGGCCAGCTCAGGCTATGTCAGGCAAGTCAGACTTTACAGAAAGCACAAACCCACAGGCCAGTGGGAAGAGGGTTGACCTGACCTGGGTCGCCTGGACTCAGTGACTTTTCAATAAAAACAGACTGTCTCTATCACAAACTAGGAATTCATTTTACCCTTTACTGTCCCATTTGTTTCTTGATCCTCACTTCCGTAACTCATCCAATAGATATGTGTTGAGCATTTTTTTAAAATAATGTCACGCATTATATGAGAGATAAACAATAAGATAGTGAATAAAGAGCAAGATAATTTCAGATAGTATAAGTACTATGGAGAAAATAAAAGATAGGGACTTCGCTGGTGGTCCAGTGGCTAAGACTCTGCACTCCCAATTCAGGGGGCCCGGGTTCGATCCCTGGTTAGGGAACTAGATCCTACATGCCACAATAAGAGTTTGCATGCTGCAACTAAAGATCTCACATGCTGCAGCGAAGATCCCACATGCCACAACTAAGACCTGGCACAGCCAAATAAATAAATAAATATTTTTTTTAAAAAAAGAAAGAAAGAAAAGATAAATGGGATGACTGGGGTGGGGAGGAGATTCTATATAAAGGCAGCTAGTAATCATTGAGTTAAGAGTGAATTGGCATAAATTTGTAAAAAAAAAAAAAAAAAGGGAGGGGCAGATCTAAAGATACTTAGTCTGTTCAGACTTCTGTAACAAAATAGCACACACTGGGTGGCTTATAAACAACAGAAACTTATTTCTCACAGTTCTGGAGGCTAGAAGTCCAAGATCAGGGTGGTAGCATGGTCAGGTTTTGGCAAAGGCCCTCTTATGGGTTGCAGACAGCCAACTTCTAACTGTGTCCTCACAGGGTGGAAGGAGCTGGGAGCTTTGTGGGTTCTCTTTTATAAGAACACTAATCTCATTCATGAGGGTTCTACTCTCATGATCTAAGCACCTCCAAAGGCCCCATCTCCTAATACCATCACAGTGGGCATTAGGATTTTAACATATGAATTTAGGCGGGGGACAAAAACATTTAGACCAAAACAAAAGAGTTCCAAAAGCAAAGGTTAATGACAAGTGCAACTTCAAGACAAGGGAATAAGCATTCAGAATGAAGGCCTATGTGGCTGCATTGAAATGAGGAAAGAGGGGACTAGAAGAAGGAGCCAGAGGACCCATCAAGGGCCAGATCAGATAAGGCCCTGCAGGCCCTATATATACATGAAATTGGGGAGGATTCTGATCCCAAATACGAGTACAAATGCAAATTTGTATTTACGCTGAAATAAAAGCATAAAAACTAGATAAAATATCTTTTGAGGGGTTAGAAAGTAACTAATACAGTGAGGAAATGGGGGGCTACAATCTTTGAGAAAAGAGAAGTACACAGGGAAGCTCCAGCCTAGATTTTTTTCTGAGGGGACTGTCCAAATTGTGGCCCAGAAGAATTGAGCCCTTGCAGAAAGCAGTATCTTATTGGGCTGAAAATATACAGGTAGGAGTTCAGAATCCTCTAAGTGGCTGGGACTTAAGGGTCAAAATACTGGAGAGAAGGAAACCACAGAGAAAAAGCCAAAACTCTGTGAACAAATTTCTCTCAAGTGGCTGACTGACTCCTAAGCTGGGCATGCACAGAGTCAGACTCCAACAAATCCAGAAGAAAACAATAGCTGAAAGAGCAATAAATTGAGAGAGATTTCAGCTTGGAGCTAGGACCCTGCTGAGGTGTAGAGGCCTTGGTAAACACCCCTGGCTTTTAACTGAGGCCTCAGAAGTGTTACACCCTAGGAACAAAGGCCATATTGCAGGAGGAAGGACAACACCCCAGGGGTAAGGACCTTGCCCTAGAAGAAAAGGCAACTACAATGGGCCAACCCTAATGAAGCTTAAAACATGCCTCAGTGGGGTCAAGGTGACCCTCCAGTACTCTGTCTATAAGAAGAAAAATTAACCTTTTTGGAGAAAGATTAATACCATCCAGAGCTTCTATAATTTTTAATCTGCATGGTCCAGCTTTGAATCAAACATTATGAGGCATGCTAAAAACAAAACAAAGCTGAACTAAGCTAAACTAAATAACCAAAAACAAAAAGTCAGCAAAAACTCCATATGATTCAGATATTGGACCCATCAGATGGGGACTTTAAAATAACTGTGACTAGTATGCTACAGAAAATAAAAGATACATAAAATAGGTGAAAATAGAGAATTTCAATAGAAAATTGGATTCTATACAAATAATCAAATGGACATTCTAGAACTGAATTAAAATTCATCAGATAACATAAACAGCAGACTGGATATCTTAGTCTGTGTGGGTTGCTTTAACAGAATACTATAGGGAATTCCCTGGCGGTCCAGTGGTTAGGACTCCATGCTTCCACTGCAGGGGGCACGGTTTCAATCCCTAGTTGGGGAACTAAGATCCCACATGCTGCGCGGCACAGGCCAAAAAAAAAAAAAAAAGTAATGAAGTACTGATACACGCTACAACATGGATGAACCTTGAAAACATAATACTAAGTGAAAGAAACCAGAGACAAAAAGCCACCAGTTGTAGGATTACATTCATATGAAATATCCAGAATAGGCAAATCCATAGAGACAGAAGTAGATTAATGGTTTCCAGGAGATGGGAGGAGGGGAGAACTAAGAAGTATGGGATTTCTTTTGGGAATGATGGAAATATTCTGGAATCAGATAATGGTGATGAACCAGAAAATCACAATCATAACATTGTGATTATACTAAAAACCACTGAACTGTGCACTTAAAATTGTTAAAATAGTGGAGTTTATGTTACATGAATTTGATCTCAATAAGTTTTAAAAAATGTAATTAGATCCATTCAAAAAAGGTGAAATAAAGACATTCGCAGGGACTTCTCTGGTGGCGCAGTGGTTACGAATCCGCCTGCCAGTGCAGGGGCATGAGTTCAAGCTCTGGTCTGGGAAGATTCCACATGCCGTGGAGCAACTAAGCCTGTGTGCCACAACTACAGAGCCTGTGCTCTAGAGCCCGCAAGCCACAACTACTGAGCCCGCATGCCATAACTACT